CTGGTGGTGCTGGCGATGCCGGCGGGGTGGCTGGGTGCTTCTCCGAAGTGACTCCCCTTCTGGGAAGAGCACGGGGATCATCGCCAAAACCTCTCCTGGGCCCAAGGGACCACACGTTCGAACTGGAGCCAAGAATTAGCATTTCTTGTCAGTCTAATGCGGGCTTTGACAGCCCAGTCGAAGGACAACGAACAGTTGTTTTCAGCCAAGTTACAAGGATACTAGCGCTTACAGCCCAGATAAATTATTGCTAATACCCCTTAGTAATGCGATGAAAGCTATTAGAGACCGGCTTTCGGGGTGCTGTGCTCCCCATCCCAGTGGGCCGTTACAGCGAGCTGCAGCCCTCCCAGCTCTTCACCGGCGGCACATCCTCCTCCTCGGTCTTGGGAGCGCTTGTGGGTGTTTTTACATGATCCCACCACTTTGGTAGCCCACACACTCTGGGCTGCGGCTCCTGAGCTTGGCCTGGATGTCGTTAAACCCTCCTGTGGCTCATGGCTCCTGCTCAGGGCTGAGCAGAGCATCTCCTTGGAGGTACTCGCCCCCCACGCCTGGTCTGGCTGCACCATCCTCTGGGCAGGTCCACGGGGACCCCAAGCTCCTCGGAGCCGCTGCACGGCCTGCAAACGGCTTAATGTTATAGCCAATACGTTTTGCACAATTAACATCCTTGCCGTGGTGATTAAAATGGTGACGACGGGCCGTAAAGCGAGGCTCGAGGTTGCCTCAGCTGTGGAAGAGCTTCTCCGGAGGGATCCACCGCCCCGAGGAGTGCCCTGCCTCTCCCACGCCACGGTGCCCTTGCAAATTGGGAGGCACTTCTGGCTTCTCTCCCGGCTGCCTGGCCGACCACCCGGTTCTTTGCTGCAGTAGCCTTCGGCTGCTCTAAAACGTACTGCGAATGCTTAAAATTGACTCCCAAAGACACCAGATTTATCCCGTTAACAATTCCCGTTTCAGCACTTTCGGTAAGGGCAGAGTTGTTTCCAAGGGTTTCGCATCAAAGTCACTTCATATCAAAGTCCCTTCCGTCAGCGGGGGCTGTATTACGAAAGCAGACCCTATCAATCACCCGCATTTCGTGCGAGAAGCCGGACCAAGCTGCACGGGTAGAGCCCATCGCTGAGCCACGAGCCCTGGGGATGCTGGCGCGAGCTGCGGGATTCTCCCCAATCCCTTCTCCTCCTGCATCCCCCGGCTAAATCCATCAGCCTCATCCCAGCTTCTTGAAGGCAGGCAAAACCACCGTGGGCCCCGCAGCCAGACCCGTTAGCCTTTGACGGGGCTGCTTTCCAGTTTGCAGAGTCAGAAGGGGAAGAGCATCTTTACTGCGGCGCTCCCGGGCTTTGGACTCGGGGTGGGATGGACGGGGACAGTCCAGGAGCGGGCACGTACGCCTGTGCGTCTGTAGCACTGTGCATCAGCAGCTCCCAGAGGATTTGTGAATGAAACCTCCCGTGCATTCTTCAGGTATCTTAAGCATCCAGAACTGAACTACTCCAGCTGTCTAACCAAATTGTTGCGTGCACATATATCTGATTTCTTAGAAATTACATGTTTGTTCCCGATGAGATTATTGTGTGCCGACTTCAAGGTTCTTTTTTGGGGGTTTTGCCTGTTTGCTTTGTTTTTAAGGCTAAATATAGCATTCTGAGTCACTGGGAGTTGCACTGGAGCGCTTCACAATACTGATCTGTGGGAGCGGGGAGGAAGCCCTCTGTTCCCTGGCCACTAATTACCTGGGCAGGCTGGCTGCAACCGACCTGACCTCAACCCCACTTTCAGCTCAGCAGTGCTTCCGTCCACCTCCCTCCAGCCACTCAGCTGGGAAATAGAGATAAATGTATCGCAACTGGCCGGAGACTGGGAATTCCCTGCTGCACATAGGGAGGGCGGCTGAAAACATCACCGTCTTTTCAAATCAGCACACGGAGTTCATAAAGAAACGGCCATTTTTTTCCGATGAGGTTTAGTGAAGCAGATGGAGACATTAGTCTGGCGATGATAGGAATCTCTTCTCTGCCTTTTTGGTTTTTTGCTGGGTCTCTTCGTTCACCTGATAAAGTGCGTATGAGGCGGAAATCTGGTTAGGCTGAACCTTTGGTGCGTTGGGATTCTCCGTAGAGTCTTTTTTACAATAAAGGACAGGATTTCGCTAAATTCACTTCAAAAAACCAAAAAGCTCCCCAAGTCTCACATGGAGGAGCCCCGTGCGGCAGCGCTGCTGTGCATCACCCTCTCCCTTGTCTTGATTTTTTTTTTTTGGGGGGGGGGGGGGTGGTTTTTTTTTTTTTTATGGATGCTTGCTCCCAGCTCCGCGGCAGCCATCGGCGTGCCTATCACGTGGCTTTTTTTTTTTTTTTTTTTTTTTTGTTGGGGGGGGGGGGCTTGGTTTTTTTTTGTTCTAGGGAAAAGAAGAAAGCATTTTTATCTTGTACTCATTTAACCTCTTCCACAGAAGCGGCACTATCATCAGCCCCACTATCTGCACCGTCGCTGCTGGCGGGGGGAGGGATGATTCATCCGAAGACGGGACAGCTCCGGCGAGAGGTCACTGGGCTCTGCACGATCCTCGTGGCCACTTCTTTCAGAAAGGGGAATTCTCCTTGTCATAAACTTCTTGTCATGAAGACAGCCTAGTGCAGAAGGGCACGTACCGTGACTAGCCTTTTACAAAGTTTACAAAAGACAGCAAAATTAAATCTGAATACCATAACCTGTGACCGTGTTTAGCATGCTCTTACACATCAGGGAACATTCTTTCACATAAAACAACAAATCCTCTCATTTTGTGCAATTTAAGCCACTTCTTAATTGCCAGCGTTACATCCTCTGAGCTTGAGGGAACGGCTCCCTTCTCTTGAGACTTAGTGGTTTTGGGTTTTTCTTTCCTCCCTGTGCCAATGCTTAAGGACCTGTGCCGTTTCTTTTCAACCAAGGCCGTGCCATGCGTGCGAACCTCAAAGTATTATTAGGAAAAAAACCTCAGGGGAGGAGTCACCCAGGAGCCCCCCTTACCGCCCTCATATCAGCAGGCACCTTCTCTCGTACAAGTGCAGGCATCGGTGCTTGCAGGGGCAGAGATGGCTCATTGACACGGATTGGTAAGATTTTGCAGCTGGTGTAGAGTTTGTCTCCAGATGTCTATTTTTATCCTAAGAGAACAGACCTTAAGCAGGGAGCATCACACCTCGGTCGCACAGGAAGGTTTTCAGCCTTTTACCGAAATCGATTCGTGCTACATCTCTGCAAATGGACTTCAGGAGCGCACACCAGGGTTTTCTCGGCCCCCGAGTGCTGGCACAGCTCACGCCTCCCCAGCTGCTTCCGTGAATTGCTGCCCAGCGCCGCGGGGGTCCTCGGGGCAGAGGGTGCGCATGGTCACCCCTGCAAGGTTTGTACCCTGGGGAAAGCCAAAACCAAAGCAGAACTGTGTTTGGACGAGTTTCAGTGGGAAAAAACGCCTGGGAAGTGAGAGCCGTTGGGATGCCGTCGTGCCGTTCGTGGCTATGGATGCTGCGATGAGTCTCACCCGGAGCCAGGCACAGCCATCCCGGGAGGAGGAGGATGGAAGATGAAGCACACCCTGCAGTCCTCGGCAGCCGGGAGGTACCACTCTGCAGACCTGTGCCGATTCATGCTGGCTGAAGATGGACTGAGAAAGTACAGGGTCATGCTTTCCCTCTGGCCCATGGAAATCTGACTGAACAGAAGCTTTGGGAGCAAGAGGGAGACGGAGCTGGAGTGCAGCTGCATTGCATTTAACACAGCCTGTTACCGCCGGGGCAGGACATTTTTTTAGCTAATCCTGACATTGCTTTAGCGTGAAAAAGCTACTTTGGGGCTGATTTTTGCAGGGGTTGAAGGAGAAGCCCGTCGGCAGCGCCAGTTCAGAGCTGGCAGGGTGCATCGCCTGCGGTCCTGCAGTGGGTGGGTGACTATTCCCAGCCAGCCCAGCACATTTCTCCGGCGGGCGGGGGCTTCCCGAAGGATGCTGCGCCGGGACACCCTGCCCACTCCTCCACAGCCAGAGCAGATGCTGGGAGTGTGCCGAGGGGAAATTTGGAGCAGGCCGGCCCAAGGGACTTGTGGTTGGAAGCACATTTGGGGCAAAGGCAGTGAGAGAGCTGGAGGTGGTAGAGGTAATTATTGCAAGCTTCAGCAGCGGGGTTATTCACTTGGATGCTTGGAAGCTCAGCGCTAAGATACTTGAATTTTTCTTAGGCTATTTAAACAATCCTGGGCGAAAGGATTGCCCTTTGTTATCGATTATCTATTTTTGTTACTACCCTGTTAGAATTGTTTATAATTTTGTTCTAATTTCTTATCATTGTACGGGTTCTCTTTGATTGCTGGGTGGGTTGTAAGACGGCGTTTCTGCTGGGAAACGAGAGCCTCCGCTCGAGCCCT